ACCCTCCTCTGCCTGCCAGTCTGGATATGCTTCAGTTTCAGTGGTGAGAAGACTTCTTGAAACTTGATGATCTCAAAGATATATTACTTTTTTCAGCTGAGTTGCTGGAGTCCAAACATGAGACACCCAGTAAGCAGGCAAGCTGCCGATCTACAGCAGAGCTGTGCGTGGCTTCATAGCAAAGAGAGGTCTTATCTTACCAAGTTGTTTATTGATTTTGCTCACTGATTCCTTTCTGAGTCAATACTAATATGAAATTAAAGGGATTTAAATGTTTATAAAGAGGCTGACAGATGGAAGTAATTTAAGCAATAAATAGTCTCAATAAATAAATATTATTTATTATTATTTATTATTAGCAATAAATATTGAGTCTGGAATATTACCGATAAAGAATAGGGAAAGTTCACAGCAGCAAGTTGTAGCTTTCTCCCATGAACTGGGTAATCCATTAGATCTCCATATGCAGTTAGCTGGTGATCCTAGATGATTTTTTCCTTAGCTCTGATCCTTATTTCTGTCTAGATACTCCTGGTCATCTAACCTGATTTAATAGCTGTAAAATGTAAAGCCTACCAGACGGGTTATTTACATGATTTGCTAAGAGTTACCTATTTCAATATTGGGACTTTGGAACTCATTTCCTAACTGCTCAGTAAAGAGTGAATTAGGGTGTAGTCCTCTGCAAGACAGAAAGCCAGTATGAGCCACAAGGAAAGAGAATCTTAAAGTGGAGGTATGAGTAGGCAGTATCCAAAAGATACTCCCACGCTGTTCCAAAGAACACAACCAGCTGATCCCACTGCACCAGGCATTTCATTAAGAATCACCTGAATCTAATGCAACCATAGTACTTTTTTAATTAAAAATACCCCTCTTATTTTTGCCAGTAAAATGTCCCAAAAGTTTTTTTTCCCCAAAGTGTATTTTGAACATAGAAAGTCCTTACTACTCCATGAAATCAGACTATTAGCAAGGATCTTCCCCACGAGTGTTCCAATCACGCACCAGATGAATAAACACTAACCCAGCAAGGCATTTCACTACAGGGGGGAAAAAAGCTCTACCTTCCTGATAAGAAGTGAGTAGAAGCCAAGTTTTGCTCCTTTAGAAAGGCAGGGATAAATCTAAATGGATGATTAAATACTGAGACCACAGTCTCGATGGGACTGATTGAGTGTTTCAAATAAGCCACGACACTTCCTGCTCTGTTCTGTCAAACACTTCATCCATACCCACAGTCACAGGTAGGTACTGAAGGCAGAGTGGAGTGGGTACAGCTGTAATGCCTTTCTTATTATTTACCAGCAGTTCAACACATGACAATTTTGGTTCTTGATCCAGATTTAAATGCATGCTCAAATTAATGTGCTCTGATTTACACTGATGAAAATGATACAAAGTTCTTTGCAGGTCTGCTTTAGTAGCAAATGCTTAACATGATCTGCTAACACAGGACTTTGGCTCTTACAAGCAACAAAGAAAAGAGCAAAACCTCCCCCACATGCATTAGCTTTACTATGAAAATATGTACATTTTTCTATATCTGGTTAGAGCAAGTTCACTTCAGTGTTTAAAGTCAGTATTTTACTCTCTTTGGTTATCCTTATTTTAGTTTTCAAAGACATCTTCATGATTCACTAGGTGTCACCAGATAGAGCTGTCTCCAAACTCACTGAAGTCTACAAATCTGGATCACTACTTTGTACTTCACATCTAATTATCCAATAACCTCTCCCAGACTGATTAAATGCCATCATGCAGATCCAACATCCAATTAAATTATTCAGGGATGCAAATTCCTGCCTTCAACCCTCTTGTAAGGGTTGAACAACACTGTCAGGTTCTTGAAGGGGACAGTCAGTGAAAATATGTTGTGTTTAACGTGTAGACAATAGCACACAGCACTTTTTCATTCAGGGACTGTATTTAATACAGATTCTGATAAAACTGGCTCATTGGGAGAGGCTGCAAGAGCATTGGAAAATTGTTCTAACATTCACAGTCAAAAACTAAGAGAGTGGATTTTGTTTAATTTATTTAGTAGCATTAATAAAAATAACAAGACTTACTTCATAAAAATCCCATTGAAAGCTTCGGAAGATTTACAGGGTTTGTTGAATCTAGCCTTCAGTAAAAAGGCTTTTCAGAGCTAAATTAGGTGCTGAATCAGGGCAGTGTCATTTTACCGTCAAGTTACCCAAAGCAGTAAGCTGGCCTATCGTTATGGCACACTGTGGAACTAGGTAGTTTTAGTCCTAAACACTTGTGAAAACTGGTATCATGTTCTGAAAGACATTTACGAACTTCACTGCAATCCTTTGCTACTGTCATCTTTCATCAAACCTGTTCTTTGTATCCACAAGTGAAAATACCGAGCAGGTTTTTGCATCCAGGTGGGAAATTTCAGTGCCAAAATCGAAGAACTTGCTTACTCAACAGCATTACTGAATTCCAGTTATGAGCCTGTTTAGCAAAGATCCCTAATTTGACTTACACCTACGATTTCACAAACTAAGTCAGGTGGAACTCCAACAGCAGTAGCATGACATCGGTGGAACCACGCCTTTGCCAAACCAGCTGAAATAAGAGATATGCCATGAGACAAATGATTGTTTTCAGAGATGCCATTAACTCATAACACCTCCTCACTGCTACTGTATCAAATACTCAACAAAGGAATAACCATTTTGCTCTTGTGCTCTTTGTGGATAAGGTACAAAACTGAGGCCCTGGTTAAAACTGAGGATTCCTTAAGAGAAAGGATGTTCTCCACATTGCTTTAAGGCAAATTGAACTCAGATAATTACAGCCAGTCTACACAGCTGGCTCTACAAGTTCTGGACGGATGCTGCAGCTTGCTCACCACCGCCAGCGCACCACCACGCAGGTAAGGGAGGTTTGCAATAGGAACAGCTTGAGGATTTCACCCCCGGTGTTGCAACAACAGGTAGAACAGGTCCTGTATTATTTATAAAGCTAAGTGTTCGGTGAGGCAAGATGCTGTATAACACAGAAGAAATTACCTATCACACTGCTCCCCAAATCACTCTGCACACTCTATTGGAATTCTTCGGCATAGCCATTCAGAGATAAAGGAAAACAGAATAAACTAGTAAGAGGTCAGTACTGCTAGAGAAACTGAAATTGCATCTCATCTTACCTCGACAGTGAAGAGCTCAGATGTCACAAACGTGCGTTCTTGTTGGATATCCAAAACTCTAGGTCAAATAAGGGGTACATTAGAGATTGCAACAACCCTCTTCCACTGCAAAATAGTTTCTGCAAGTGTTTGGACAGTAACTATCTTTGCTGCCTTCTGTATTAGACACTCTATGCAAAAAGGTGCTTTCACATTGGAACAAAAATGAAGGAAATTAAGGTTTTTCTGAAATATAACAAGAAAAACTCTTTGATTAAGTAATCACTTACAGGCTTGCCTTCAGAGAACATTTGGAAACCTGTCCAAACCTCTCATAATCTTTGTGCTATTCTGTGGTTATATTTCCCTACTATTAGTCTGATTTACCTTGCTTCTTCCCGAGCCAAAATCTCCAGTAGCTTTGAAATGTCCCCAGGGCAGTCAGAAAGCACAAGGGAAAACCTGCACACTCTGCAGTCGAGGGACAGGGCACGAGCTATGCACTGTTGCAGCAAATGCAGTTCCAAGTTTCCACTGCATATAACAACTGCCACTCTGAAAACAGAGAAAAACAGGATTTTTGATTAGCACTTGGCTGTGCCAAGGAACTGTAGATCGCAGACACTGTATTGAATATCAGCTTAAGATCTGCTAGGACTGCCCTTCAATAAATGTGTATTACATGTCAGAGGGGCCCCTGGATCTCCGCATCCCTTGTGGGCAGGCATTGGGAACCTAGAAGCTGTGTTTCAGAGTACAATGCCTTGCGCTGGAAATTTTATTTTGTCTTGAGTGCATGTTAAGTTTAAATACATTCCGGCCTATGTCCTGAGCCAAATCTCAATCCGCTTAAGTACTGAAGTACTCATGCCCACATGGAAGAAGTCACTTACCCACAGGTTTAATGCTAAGCACAAGGGTAATCCCATTGACTATCTGGTCAGGAGTTCTCCAGGCCGGGAGGCAGGTGCCACTGAGTGACTGCAGAAAACAGCCTGTCTCCCACCACAGACAGGGCTCATTTCCACAAGTGGAATGAGGGACGGTAACAGGCTGACGTGAGGGGACATGCTTTCCTGGCAGACGTGACCATGCCTCCTGGAGTTGTGCATGACTGCCTTTCCCTCAACCATTTGAGAATTCAGAATGACAAGATTTGTTGGGTCTTCAGGCTGACATTTGTCTTGTTCAACATGGTCTTCTGACCTGTGAGTGGTGTCTTCAGCCTGAAGTAGACACCACAGATAAGCCTGTTGCCAGTTCAGGAGCAGGAACTGCCTCATCACCCATTAAACAAGTTGCGTCTCTCCGTTTCCTGGGACCAAGGCACTCAACCCCATGATTCCGCCACCGTTCCCCGTTTGCAATAGCTGCCGTACCTTTTACCCTTCAACTCGGGCAGCTTTCCTGCAACCAGCGCTGCAAGGCCAATGGCCCCTTCCGCATCAACCGTGGCTCGCTCATACTCCAGCAATCTCAGCATTGAAATGAGGATGTCCTCCTCCCTGAAAGTAAGAGAGTTGGGTCAAAACAAATCAAAAAGAGCTACCAAAGGCCAAAGACAACACATTTATGTATAACCGGATTCCTTCCATCCTCCCAGGTACATGGACCCCAAGGAGGTGTTACAGCAAGCTGTGCTGCTGGGGCTGAAAGCACATCTCAGCCTTGTTATTGACTGAAAGACAGAATGGCATTTTTTGCTAGAAACATTGTGCCACCTATAGCCTTGTGGTAAGTATATTCTGCCAATGTGGCCTTTCTGCCAAGATTTAGAAGAGTTTTGTACAAGTCTGCCTTCAAGTGTTGTAGAACACAAGAAGGACAAGTTTTACACCCAGAGCATGACCAGGTACTAGCAGCAGGTGAAGTTTTGGCAAAAGGGATCAGTCAGTCTGGATGATACCCTTAATCAAATGATTTAGTATAGGTAGCCCTGCAAGGAGCAGGGAGTTGGACTCGATGGTCATTTATGGGTCTCTTCCAACTCAAGATATTCTATGATACGTGGGATTGGGTTCAGTGTCTTTAGGGCCCATCTGGGAAGGAGAGGCACCCCACCACCACCATGCTCTCACAGTGTGTGCACCAGGGCATCTCCTGCCAACTTACTCTCTGCTGTACATGAAGAACCACCATACCCTGGGGGTACAGCACATTTTTCATATAGAGCAATGTTCACCCTGTCTTATTCATTTCACTGTTTTTCTTCACCTACCTCACAGCAACAACTTTATCCACAAGTTTCCCAGACAGCTGCAAAGAATTGCTGCCAAAGCAAAGTCCGCTCACATCTGCAGATTTCAAAAAGACAAAAATATGAAGCTGGCTGCTTTAGACAAGTTCAACATTATTTAGGGTCCTGACTGTTTTGTGCCCTTAATGAGTACAGCACACTGCTGTTATATGATCTTCAGTTGCCTTTTTTTTTTTTAATGACAAAAATGTGTTTGGTAATGGAAGATCAAATCTCACAGGAAGATTTTGCCATTTTGGACCCTTTTAAGAAAATTATGATTCTTCACTGGTATAGTTGAACTGCAAAAGTGACCCTGTAGCCCAGTGCTTTCCGCTGTTCAATGAGGCTTGAAGGAGGGAAGAACCAAGCGTAGCACTGGGTTGGTTAGCTACAGCGGAACGGTTAGCAACGGAGTGCCGAGACGAGCAGAGCTGACCGAGAGAATTAAGAATTGTTTGTTCATAAAACTCCCATTCAAACCAGACCTTCCAGAGATTTGAATATCAGGTAAACAGGATATTCTTAAATTGCTTAACAGTTGAGGTTTTTTTGAGCAAATGATGTGGAAACAACTGTATTGTTTATAAACATTGATGTTCTGAGAACAGTTTTTTGAGTCTAAACACTTCACCACATTTTCCTGCCTTTTCACAAATAAGTGTTTTACAAGAGAGCTTTCCCATGGACTTCACTGATTAAGATGCTGCTTCTGAGCACAATGGTCAGATAAGTAGTCAGATATTTCTAAGTACTCACCTGAACATTTCATGTGCACTGGCATTAGTAGTGTATCCCAGGGTGGTGGTGGTGGTGAAAATGTGGCAGAATTTGCTTTTACAGCTTAAGTTCTGACTCAACAGAGATTTCTTTTGAAATATGTTTGTACTGAATTAATGAGAAAATAATACAGATGGAGAAATCAATTACAACCTCTATTTTACCTCTAAAAATACCAAAGCACTTTCTTACCTCCATAAAAGTGATGATTGCTGCAAGCCTGGTCTTCAATTGGGTGGCCAGCCTTTAAGGACTGTTGCAACACAGGAAAACTTTCAGATTCAACCCCCTGGAGAAAATACCTGTTGTCACTTTTTTTTTTTTTTTTTTTAATCCAGTCACCACCAAAGTGGACACCAAAAAAGCTACAAAAAGTTTTCTCTTCAAATTAACAATTAATTTCAAATTGCATATTAACTGTGCTATCATTAAACTTATCCTGTGGCTTATTTAGGGCTAGACTTCTCCCATGAAAAATTATTTCAAAACACTGAATCGGATTTCATTTCATAGAATGGTTTAGGCTGAAAGGGACCTGAAAGTCCCAACCCCCCTGCCATGGGCAGGGACACCTTCCACTAGACCAGGTTGCTCAAAGCCTCATCCAGCCTGGCCTTGGACACTTCCAGGGATGGGGCATCCGCAGCTTCTCTGGGCAACCCGTTCCAGTGCCTCACCACTCTGTGCAGAATATTTTGCTTTGGAGGAGTCTTCCCCACATTTTTTCTTAAATCCAGCCAAGCAGCCAAGGGACAGGAGGCTTCCCAGGCTCTCAGAGGCTTTCTCCTAGGTGAAGCCCACAGGATCAGATAGTCCCTGTCCCCAGCATTTGCAGTCTCTGCCAGTGTGTTATTGGATACCAGTGCAGTGTTATCACTAGATACCAGTGCCTTTTGAAAAGAGCTGTTGCGAAAGCTGCCAAAATACAACACTTCATAGCTGAAAGGAAACTTACAATTACAGAAACGTGTGGGTTGAGGTGTTTGAGTGCAGCAGCCGACCCTGCCAGCAAGCCACAGTGGCCTCCTGCAGGGAAAATCACCGCATCCAGCTTTGGCACCTGCTCGTACACCTCCAGCCCCACGGTTCCCAGGCCCGACAGGTAAACAGCACTATCCTCCCTGTGGGAAGGAAGAGCACAGCTCAGCAGGGTTCACCATCATCAACGCAGCGATAGTTCGATCTGCTACTTTAAAGACATTGTTCAGCAGAAAAACATGAGTGACCAAAGAGGGGAGGAGGTGGTACAGCAGGACACCGCCATCAGGCAGACCATGGCATGCTGTTACCTACTAGGAGGAAACGTTGACAAACCCCCCAAATAGCCTTCAGGCTGAAGAGCACTTATCTCTGTTGTTACCAGTATCAGGTGTTTACAGAGCTGGTGAGACAGACATCATGTTTCCACTGCCAGCACTCCCTTCAGCTTAATGAATTTTAAATGTTGCAGTGCAAATTAAAAGCAAACTCTCAAAAGGAAATCTCCTTCCGTTTATTTGTAAGTGGAATTTAGTGTTCATGAAAAACGGGATTTTTTGTGAAATTTAAGCACTGCGTTCAACCTCACAAATACCAAACAGACTGCTACAGCTAAGTCTTTCCACAATCCAGGGCAAATATCTGATACCTTCACATTACTCTGGAAGGGCAAGAGAAGCATTTAGTCATGCCAAAATACTCACTGGTAAAACAATTCCAGGCAAAGGTAATATAAATGAGCAGAATAGGGACACATAGAGTCAAAAGATTGAAGGAAAGTCCACTGTACAGTCACACAATTGACTTGGATCTATTTCTAAAAGCTGTTTTACATTTTAGCTAAAAGATAGCAATGATGTAAATGTAGACTGAGATATGAACAAAAAACATGAGACCTCTGTATGCCTTTATGTTCGCTTTTTCTGGCAAACAGATCAGCAAACAGAATTATAGACCCAATGGCTTACTTGACCCAGGATGTTTGGGTACTAGGAAGCTATGCTTCTGTTTCTGTTAGACCTGCACACAGAGGCACAGGAGCACAGAACGCCTGCAAGGCAGAGACCAATGCCCTCTTGAGACATTACCTTGTTTACAGCAAAACACAGCAAACCCCTCAGGGCGAGAGTCTACATAACTACACCAGAAAGGATAGAGGGAATGAACTTCTACTCCTGTTGCACAGCTAAAGACAAAGGCAAGAAATCATAGTGGGATGGGCAACCGAACCCTTGCATTTATAGTCTTTACCAAGACACTGAAGGAGTTCTCTGCTCCCTCTTACATGTACCACGGTATTATCACTGGTCTCCTGAACAGTTCTGGAGCCTTATTTGCAAATAAGGCTCAGAACTGAGTTTGCAGAGTATCCCTGCCATGGTTACATGGGAGACCAGAGGGACCTGCAAAAATGAATGAGGACCTGGGATATTCAATTTATGAGTAAAACTTCTCTAACAGCTGAAATCTCTGTCCGAAGGAGATTGCTCTGGGCATGGAGATTTATCAGCAGTTTGAATTAATGTTTCAGGTAATCGTGTTTTCCTTGCTAACATCCACCACTTCACTGATCAGCCTTCAGCTTTTTATCATGAAACGCGTTATTTCATTTGCACTGTGATTACTTCTTTGTGAAGGCAAACACATCTCCTTCGGAAAAGAGCAGATGAATCTAAAGACTGTAGATTTAACCAAGCATTTTTGAATCAGAGGTAGAAATTTGGCCATTTGCCTTCTGAAACATGTAGTCAAAGATGGGCCGTCAGGGTTCAGTTTCCCAATGAAATTTTGACGTGGCAGCTAGCAGGCTTTGTTTCTCTGCTCTCCAAATAAAGGGCTCAAAATCTATCATCCATCCTTTCTAGAGTAATAGACTAACAAGATCACAAATGGATGAGAAGCAGGTATTTGGTTATGGAGTTACACAAGAAAAAGTGGACTCTCAAGGAAGGAAGGTGTGTGATTCATTCAGTGGCACACGTACCTCTCTGATTCACAAATTAATCTTTCTCACAACACCCTAGAGGTACTGTGTTACTTACTGGCAGTATTTACATTGCATTTATAATGAGGTCCAGAACACCTATAGTTATTAAAAATCCCATGTTACCTAGCCAGCAATTAGACTCAATGATTGAATTCCAACTTGAAAAATAACAATTCCTTCCTGGAATTTCACAGGAAGTTGCAGTTGGATAAAAAGTTTGCTTCCTGTAATTGGACTGTTGCATGATCATTTTCATAACGTAGTATTGTAATTGCACTCAAGAAATAGGAAGAACTGACACTGACACACCCAACGACAGGGCATTACCCATGCAGGTAAAACCAGAGACAGTCACGTAATGGCTACTTCAGGGAGGAAAGAATGAATTGTTGGTTAAGGACAACCAGAGACCAAATTGCTAGGGGTTTCATGCAAGCTGGAATTAAACTGACATAAAATGACATTGCAGAAGTTCCATTCTAAAGCACAGGAGACAAGCAGATGTTTTACAGGCAGCTTTGGCAAGTGACAATGAACGTGTGTCAGACATCCACTGAAGAAGACTGGCTAGCCATATACACACACATCTCTCCGGGAAAGCTCTCCCAGTCTACACCTAACAAAATACATTTCAGGCATCCCATTATGGAAAGGCTGACAACTGTAGTGTTTCTTTGGGTTGGGTGTTTTTTTGTTTGGTTGTTTTTGGGTTTTTTGGGGGGTGTGGGGTGGTGTCCCCTCCAGGGTGTGAAAAATTGCATCTGTGAGATTTTAAGTAAACATGGTAACAGATTGAATAACTCAGTTCCTTGCAACCTGAAATACCTGTTGCTTGTAACCTGAAAACTGAAATAAATCAGTGTTCCTTGATATGAACAATAAGGAGTTCACTTAGGGTTCCTCAATGCTAGATGCTGAAGTCCTTCACATGCATTGTCCCTGGAGCGTCATAAACCTGGAGAATATCTATCTTGTGTAAAACAAATAATTATTTGGGGAAGAGGGGCAGAATAAACATGAAATTTCAAAATAAACCCTTTAGTTCTTACATGCAAACGTGACAGCTGATGCAAGGCAGCTGGGAGCTAACATATCCATTGAGCAATGGCTGACAGAAATTTGGAAATCACAAATTTATGGAAAGCTGTGGTTTTCAAAGAAAACCTAAATGGGTTCAAAATTTAGTGTGATGCAGGACACCTTATTCCATTGGGTTTCTTTCAAAGTCTCAGTCTGGGACAAGGTTGTGCCCGTGGTGACAGACAAGGCACAGCAACCGGCCCTGTGGGTCACTTGCTGTCGGCAGAGCTAACAGTGTGATTGAAAAGTACAGTTTTGAATGTTGCCTTCCCAGTAAACCAACTGGGAAAGAAGTGAGGGCTTTCTCCATTCTGCTCATTCTGGGATCCTCTTTCCAAGCAAAGTCACTCCTCATCGCTATGGTTAATGCAGTAGTGCCTCGGAGCCGAAAGGGAACGGGCACTCACTGCTCTAGGTGCCGCACAAACATGAAGTGGTGGATAAAGCCTGCACAGAGGTGGGGAGGGAGAGTAACATTCCAGTTGAGTGCATCAGAGGGACTGCCAGCTACCTCATGCTAATGATTCACTCCTCCACGCTTGGAAAACTTACTTGAATAAAGGTAAGGAAAAAAAAAAAAAGGGAAGGGAAAGGTGGAAGAGACTATGGAGAGAAAAGGAAAAAAAAAAGAAAAATGGATCAGTTCTAAATATTTTTGCCTGTCTTATTCTAATCATGTTTTATTAGACCCAGCTTGTTCAATGACCTCAAATACTTCAAAATTCAATTTATACTCATCCTTAGATACTTTAAATATATGTGTGAAGTAACCTCTTCATCATCATCTTTCAGAATCACAGTATTGTCACTCATACCAGACATGTGAAAATTCTGCAGCATTAACCTTCTCTTGCTACGACACTACGACACCGAACCTTTTGCATTAAGGACTAGCTTTTACACACCTTACTCCAAACAGAGACCAAACATGAACGCTAGCCTCAATGCTTTCTGGCAGGGTTCATAAAGAGTTAACAGTTATCCATTATCATACGCGCCCCTCTAATTTCTAATCATGACGTTTGCCTAATTTAGGGGAAGAGTGCTTCATTTTGGTTTCCATTCCCAAGTGTTACAGAAAGACTGATGATTAGTACCTGGGAATAAGTAACTGTCCCTGCTGCAGCTAGGGGGAACATTTTAGTGACCTGTGATCAAATTTTAATGAAACAAAACATTTTTGCAGAATGGTGCAAGTATCTAAATCTAATCTTTCTTATCAACCTGACTTTCCACTTACTCTTCGAGGTAGAGGTAACCGTTCTCCTGCGCCAACCTCCTTGCATGCGTCTGGGAATCCTTAGCTGTAGTGCCATACGATATAACCATGGCACCGTACTCACGGCACATTTTCACTCTGGCCGGGGACGTGCTGGTTGACATGATGACAAACACTGGAATACGGAGCTCTGAGGCATGGTAAGCCACAGCCATGGAAAAGTTACTGTCCGAAGCCACGATCACCCCCTTTCTTTGCTGATCCTAAAAAACAGGGTTGCTTATTGCATATTATATAGTGTCACAGAGTTGTCCTATATGATCCTGGATCATTCTAATAGTCTGATTTCCTTCTTTTCCTCTACTAGCTGATCGTATTATGATACAGTGTACGTGTGTCTGGCATGATCTCAGGACTTACACACAAAGCTAAGACAGCACAAGTTCAGTCCTTGTCTGGTCCCTCTTCTCTGACAGTGTGAAATTATTTCATTTTACGTTTCCCTCTAATAGAAGGGTTTAGTCTTATTATTACAGAAGTGCAGGAATAACCATTGTTTCAGGGCTGCTGTATCATGCCAATTATAATTATTATTGCTGCAGAGACTCAATAACCTCCTACAACAAATGATAAGCAAGCTATTCATGTAATGATACTGAAATTCATTACAAAATCAAGCGGTGATCTAAATCCTTCTCGTCATCCATTGTAACCAATTTCATCATCACTTAACATTTGGTGGTTTCAACATGTCAGAACATTAGTGTGCATACAAGCATTTTCAGCTAAATCTCACAGAAAAAATGCTGATATTTACATTATTCAAGCTTTTCTTTCAAATATTGTCAAGCATTTCACCAGCCAATCAGCCAAGTAGTAAAGTGTTTTACATTCAGATACTAGCGGATGTATCTATACTGTTCAGCACAATGGTTCAAAAGGCAAGAAACAGTGTGATTCCACGGACATTATGGGTAAAATGATCTTTAACTCTGCTCCATTTTTGTGAAGCAGAACTAATCTATTTCTTACTGAACGCTGATGCTTTGTTATACCTGAGGCAATGACGTCAGAAGGTAAAGAACACCTCGTTCCTTCACAGATCCCGTGTACTGGAGGAACTCTTTCTTTAGGTAGATGTCCATGCCATACTGCTTGGATAGCCTAGAATACTGGAGTACAGAATTGTTATTATGGGGATGTATCTAAAATTAAGAACAATCTTCCACACCCCATCAGCTCCCCGGTGAGGCATCCATTCAACTGCTACATATGAGCTCTAAGAAGTACGTTTCATAACCTGCTTCTTTAGAAACACATGACAGTGTGTTTTTACCTACCAGATTCTTCTGACCTGCGGAAGTCATTTTCAATCTTGCAGCTGTGAAATATGCAACCCATGCTATTATGAATTCTGAAAATAACACTAGTTTTGTTCCTACTGTTCAAATACAAGTATTAAAATAAGTATTTTCAATTATTTCAAAAGCCACACTATGGCCTGATATTTTAGCACTTGCCAGAACTGGATATTGAATGCCCCAAAAATAAGGTCATTTCCTAATAGATGCAAAATCAGTCAGAAAATTCCCCTTACGACTCAGTGTGCTGGTTTCAGGCAGGAATGAGCTCCTTTTCTTCACAGTGCTGTCAGCTAGCCCAGGGCAGCTGGTTTCTTCCCAGTGGTTTTGTCACCCTGGGGCTCTGGCTCTGGGGCTTAGACTCTTGCTGCTCTGGGACCAGGCTGTGTGTCAGTAGGCAGGTGGTGAGCAATTGTATAATATTTTCTGTTTTCTATTATTTTAATTACTTATTAGCAGTAGTATTGTTAGTATTAGCAGTATCACTATAATTTTGATTTATATCCAATTATTAAATAGTTCTTATCTCAGCTTTACGAGCTTCCTTGTCTTTTCCTCCAACTCTCCTCCTGCACTGGGGGTGAGGTGGAGGTGAGCGAGCAGCTGATTGGTACTTAATTGCTAGATAAGATTGAACCACGACAGTCTGCTCTGGTTTCTGCCACTGATTCATGACTGAATATTGCTCATTTTCCACCCTAAGGACAGTATGACATGAGTAGGGACAGTTCTTATTTGAAAAGCGATGGAAATAATTAAAAAAATATTTCCCAGGACTGCAAGTGTAAGCAGCAGCTGTTTGAGAATGCTCAGTTCAGAACAGAAAGGATCCCTGATCCAAGAGGAATTAGCAATCACAGGTTATGTGATGCAGTGTCCCAGTGCATGATTTTTTAATTATTTTTTTAGTGACAAATCTTTATAAATGTTTATAGTAGGGCACTCACAGCATGCATTGGCATATTAATTTCCTCTTACTATATTATCTAAAACAAGAATTTTAAACAAGGTAACTTATGAAATAGAGCTGCAGTAAGCCCGTGGGTTCTAGTTCCTCAGGCTTATTGCATCTCTATTTCATAACTGGCTCTACTTCTTCCATCAGCTGCCAAAGCAAATGAGGACCTGGGCATTTAAGGGATCAAGCCTTCGTTTATGATAAATCACAAAAAGAGAGAGATTAAAAGACAGCATAACAATATATTTCAAATATTTATCTCAAAGAGTATTTGGCAGTGTCATGCATAGGGTGTATTGTGTACATGGCAATCGGTGCTGACATTTTTCAGACTATGGGAATTTCAATGTGAATTTATATAACCTAAGTCCATCAGAAACAAATACTTGCTTTAAGGTATACAGTTAAACTAAATATTTCAGATTCATGTTTCAATGCTTTTTAGTGGATTTACAAGCATATTTTAAATTTCTCACCCATAGGTGGGGCCAGATTCTCTATTTTGCTTCTAAAAATCCTGCAACAGGAGCTACCACTTCCTGCTCCTTTGCAAATCTGGCTGCAGAACTGAAAGAATTGAAAGTGCTTAGTACAGTAATAGGATAACAGTTTCTATCCTAAACAGCCTAATCTATGGAGAACGCCTACGCAAAAGAAAAGAACTCTAGATAATAAACACTGCTTTACCAATTCTTCACATACCATACTAGTTTTATCATTTTTGGTTTTGTAGAGAACCTTGGATTCTAGAGTGAACAACGAGAAAAAGGATTTAAGGAGATGGATCATCCCGTGACTTTATAAAGTTTCTAAGTCTCTTACATTTTAAAATATGTGTCATTAAGTCACTCTTTACCACAGAGGAGGTGTACTTCAGATTATTATTATTTTTCTTTAATTCTGAAACTCAATATTTTAACTCTTTAGGTTATCCTTTTCTGCTTCTTTTAACTGAGGCGCTTTTTAAAATGTAGCCTAAATGTGGCAATTACTTCTAACAAAGGAAGTGTCAGCACTATTTTCAGCTTATTGACCTGATGTGTGGCCTTGTACCACCCACTGAACCCACCTGTAAGTTTTCCCTTTTGTCACTGTGGCCTTATCCAGGGACTACAGATACTGTGTACAACACACAGCAGAGCCTCCGTTTGGCATCCAAAAAGCTAACACAAAACAACTCTTACATTTCCTACATCAGTAACCAAACTAAGTGCCCAATTTAAAGTTCATTCCTTGTTTTCCTATACTCACTACCTCTATAACATCTGTTGCAATCACGATGCCCGATCTCAGCTCCAGGCATAACGAACCAGGAAGTTCCATTCGTGGTCTTAAACTGCAGATTATGAATCACCCTGCAAAGTATTTCTTCATTCAATTAACTGAATGGGTTAGAGTTATACTTGATTCTTTAAATCCAAAGAGATGTCCCTAAAAGGGGCCCTTACCTCACAGCAGCCAGTTGAACTAAAGGTTATCTGTGTTTTTCTTGACACCACTCTGTGTTTTCAAGAGTTTCCTTTTGAAACAGTTCACGAAACATACACCAATGACTTCTGTGGGAACATTACATTGAAGACCAAGAGTCATGGGCTATTTTTCACACTAAAACAAGTGGGGATATAGATTTTTCACTATTCTGATCATCCCAAAAGCATAGTTCATAGGAAGAGACTGAAGAAAGTTAGCCTGTTTAGCTTGGCACAGTAAATGCAGAGAGGGACTACGACTGTGTTGCATACATCTGCTAGGGACACCCTAGAGAAAAGAACTCTTTAAGCTGAGGGGCAAAGCTGCCTGAGAACAAATGGTGTGAACTGGCCAAAGAGAGCTTAACTACTTGTGAGCAGGAACACGATCAGTTTACGAGAATTTTGTCTTCCACGGATGCCTGCAGGAGCAGGGATGGACTCAGTGCTGCCGTCTCGCCTTTTCCTGCACTAGGCTGTGTTGGGAGCAAGGACACGGCCCAGAGCACAGGGCTGAGATAGGCTTCGCTAGTTTGGCAGAAGTGCACGATGCCATGAGCTGTGGGGAAGGCATGATGGAGGCTATCAAAGGGAAGGGAGCCAGCTAATTCTGCTTTCCAAATTTAGCCCTGACACCCTCCTCTTCCTGCCCATAGACTGACCTACCTTTGTACAGCAAGATTAAACCCATCTAACAAATACAGCCAGAGTTGTCAATTACAGAGAAGTGCAGTATTCACCACCTGCAATATAAGTGCAAATCTTCTCTTTTTGGGACAGTCTGTCCTCAAAAGCAGAAGATTGACACTTCTGTCTAGCGCACTGTCTGTGCTCTCAAGCCTGACAGTCAGAATTTTGGTGACAAACGATGCAATGTGTGGGGTTTACTACGTTCCCTCTGTTCACCCAGGCCCTGGCCCCCTGACCACCCGTGCTGCACACGTGTTTGCTCAATTCGCCCTGCTGCCTTCTCAGGCAAGCCAACTTTTCCAGTCTAAAAGGAAATCCAGGTACAGCTGGCAGGATAGTTTACACCAGAGACACTCTGAACAGGCAGTATGAATGCAAAATGCATCCAGTTTGACTCCCTGCACTCCAGCTAACACTACCCTGCAAGTTTTTCGTGTCGCTTTACAGTCCCAAACCATCTTACATCATGCCCTTTGTCATGAGACACACTCCTTCAATAGTATGCTACAAAAAGACACAGCTATCCTTATTTTTGGGAACTCTGCTGAAAGCAATTATATCTCTGAATCAGCATGCAGCATCTGGGAACCAGAACTGCTCTGCCTTGTAGACCCAACCACTTTGCTCCAGGAACTATTAACCCTAGGCACTGTGCAGGCCAGAAAGACAATCCATGGATGGTAGTGCTGTCAGGGTACCCTGGGTCAGCAAGAGGGAGGGATTCATTGAGAGAGTGATTTGGGGCTGCTGTTATGAATTGCCATTTGGCAAAGACCACAGAGTGCCTACAGTAGTCTTCATGAAGGCTACTAACAGTAGAAGTACACCACAAGTGAAGTAGCTTGCCACTGTACTTCTTTTACACTTTAGCAAGTGACAGTACATTTATGGGAGCGTCTCAGTCATGGTCATACCCAGACTGATCAAGAGGTGCGTGTGTACATCTTAATACCCTCGTTTTGATGAAGACTCACGCGGCAGAACCGCCTGGTTACAGAACACATCCAGCCTTGCCAGGTTGGCCAGGCTAGGAAGGAAGGTCTGTACCTTTGAACTCTCTAAATATGAGGGCTGGTTCCAAACCAGACCCTTCCACAAGCTGCTTACCCAAACACTGACAGTCTGCCACCTCTAACTTGGGATCCTTGCAGCGAGGGTTTTCACCGGCAGCATAATACCACAGTGCATTAAGTCTATGCCTAACGTGGTTTATCCTTTGTTTACAGATCACTGCAATCTTTGAGGATTTAGGTTAGTGTGAACAGGTAAGAAGAAAATTATTATTGACAGTTAACAACAACTAATATGAACAGGGGACATTTTACACAGATCTATCTGCTGCAACCCACACATAACTCTTCCTTTAATTTCTGATCAACTCTCATAAAGAAAAGAAACAGTGAGAGAACACAAAGCCATAATGACTCCCTACCATGCAGGGTGTTTTCTGAACACCACACTGGATTTTGAAAGCTGCTGCACTAATATCTTCAAATCGAATCAGCTTGTTACTGCTTGACAGGCTGGTCCTACTGCTTGACTGAGGGATGCGTGAAAGGGCATCTCTAAGTAACTCCTCATTACGGCTCACGATCTTCATTTCCCAGGTCTTCACATCCCCATTCAGGTAATCCTCCTCGCCAAAATCTTTCAGTCTCTCAGGGTTGATTGAGGGTGGCTTCTGCCCAATAAGACCATTTCTTATTGGCCCATCCTTACAACAGTGAAGATCACAAAGTGCTGGGGCATCTGGTTTCTTTATCTTATTGTCATCCCTGAAAACAAATAAAAGAAACTTGTTAGGAAAGCTTGGATGATTACAGGCTTGACATTTAGCATTTAAGAAGGATGTACATCTCAGTTGCTTTTTGCAAGCCACAAACAAGCAGACTGAATTATTACTGTCATATTACCTCAATTTGCAGGTGGATTGAAAGCCACTGTAACCACCCAGCTTTAGAAAAGCCATCGATAACCCGGCAGATGGGCAAACTGGAAATTTGGCATACCCAAGAAAGTAAGAAAGATGCAGTCCACGCTGTCTGAGCAGCCAAACCTTCCTTGGTACTCAGTCTCAATCGGCAGTGATCCCAGTTCAGGGGGTTCAGAAATTCTGGAATAACTGGAATTGTATTTGCTGTATGCAACTCCATGGTTTTAAAAAAAGGCAAATAGCTGCTGCAGAGCATTCCCTAATACTTATTACTAATAGCAGTAACAATTGTCATTACATTGTACACAAGAGGTCTGCTTCTCTGCCCTTGCATACTTGTAGAGCACACTCTTGACAGGTGTCAACTGACTCGTGATGGGAAGAAATTACTTGGATAAAGGATAACAATTATATCCTACAGAGCTAAAAAAATAGGCCTCCTGATCTGTGAGTTACACCTCATAGATAAACATACCTGTAGACAAGATGATACCGTGAGGCCACACAAACCTCCTTCCCTAAGAAACTTTGGAGAGAAAAAACTGCTACAAAAAATTGCCACTTTTCCTACCTTCAACCACCTTACTCTGTGGCCCACAGTGTTCAGGAGTTCCCAAGGGATAATATGCTGTAGTGTAGGATTTCAAAAGCCTACTAACAAATACGGGCAATACTTCTAGGAATTCTTAGAATTTGGAGAATAATGTGGGGGAAAGGGAGCATTAAGCAAAAGACTGATTTGGAAAAGTGCTCATACCACCCCTGGTCTGTGGCTATGATTGATTACACACATGGTCTAAGTCCCTCAACACACGTTACGTTATGTCATAGATTTCAGCATCATCTCCAACAAAAATATTTTCATTATCACAAAACAATTTGGATTTAAGACATGCCGTTATTCATCAGCAGGGTTGGCTAAAGACAATGTTGCCCTAGTTTTACAGCAACCATCAGCACTGTAATATGCACTGTAATAATTTCCAAAGAAGAATTTTAAAATATTTAGAAACAGTTGTTTTTTGAGCAATTGCCCCACTTTTGGCAGTGTCATCTATTTTTTCTGTGGTCCAAATGATCTTGTGCCAGTAGCTCTGCTTCCAGTCACACTTCCACTGTGTGGAAGCACTGTGTTCCACTGAGAACTTCACATAACAATATGGGCAACATAAAAGGTGTTGTTATTTGAATCAATTAATATACCAGTAGAATCAACCATTCTGTATAACCTGACAAGTGACAAAAAGGACAATTTTTGCAGCAAGGTCTTCTATCTCCAATATTAATGAGATCACCGCTAATTTTCTAAGATAAATAAATAAAGTATTTACACCTTTGTAACTTATCTTGAAACTTGTGATTTAAAATTCCCAATACCGTATCTTTAAGCTGATACAAGCTGGCACTCTGTCTTCAAATTAAATAGCTTATCAAGTGGCTCTATTCCATACTTTTCTGCGTTTCTGCTCCTCTGGGGTTAGAGGGTTGGGACACTTCATAAAGATGTTAAGCTTCCAGTGTTAGCTCTCATGCATGTTCGTCAGCTTAATGCAAAGGTGAGAATCAGATCAGACTGTCTCCCTGTGAACTTGTCACAGCACAGCCCCTGGCATAAACAACAGCTATCATTATCTAAGAGGCCACATCACTGTTAAGAGTTCATTCCCTACCTTCCCCCCATAAAAAACATTTTCCATACCACAACAGCCCATGACCACTCCAAAAAGAGAAGAGCATATAAATCTTACCTCTAAACATATTATCTGAAATGTTTAGCAAGCGTTATCAAAGAATGATACTTCTTTCACTGACAGTGGGTTAAAAGGGTATATGTAAGTAAAATATATAGGTAGATCAAAAAAACCTGTGATTTTTCTAGGTCCGGGTTTTTTGGGGGTTTTGTTTGTTTGTTTGTTTGTTTGTTTTCTTTTACTGAATGGCATTTGAGATCCTGTGAATTTATCTCCTTTCTCTTGGCACTTGTTGCAATCAACTACAAAAAGTCCATTAAAAAAACCCAGTCAAAGATGACCACAAAAAACCCATTGACGAACCAGGATTCTGCTAGAAAGTACAAACAACAGGGCAGTGCCTCACCACACTAGTGCTGTTGAATAGTTTTATATCTGCAAATAGAAAGACCAAAAGAGAGTATTGATTTTTGGCCCTACTCCCGGATCTCCTTTTTTTGGCAGGACAAAGGAGGGAAATAAATCAGATTCTCAGCCCCTGATAGGCCATACTGCTCTCATGAAGAGTGAGTATCTATCTGCTCATGACCATGACGAAGACAATGCCTTATGACCAATTGGAAAAAAAGAACAAAAGTAAAAAAGTACATATTTTTCATTTACATTAGCAAATGACATTTTCCCTGTTGAACTTGCCTGCGTGTGCCACGGACCCACTGAGAGCTCTCGAACTCCCAAGTCAAAGAGTGGGTTGAGGTTTGATAATCCATCACAAACTGACAACCAATAGCGCTGTCGGGTCGCATGCATGTGTATCCTCAAGCACAGTTCACATGTCAGCTGTAGATCACTCAGTGTGAATTTCTTTTGCAGGATTAGACAAAGCAGGCAGAAAAGCATGCAAGTGCTCCCAAAAAAGCCAACATGTGGCTTCTCATGCAGAGTAACAAAAGACGGCCCCTATTCTAGCGATCATGCCCACCAGACGAAAATCTGAGCCAACATAAATACAAACGCCAGCATTATAAAGCATCGCTCCTTTCAGATGGACCGTTTTTCCTTTTTGGAGTTTGTCTAAGAAAGTTTTCGTAAAAATATCTCTTTCCAGCCATAAAACAAACACCCAGCTGGCAAGCTTTGTTACATGGTTCTAAATTACAACATTTTACCTTTAAAGCGATTAGTAAAAGCAAACATGAAAATACAGTTTATAAACCTACTTTTTCAAGAACAGCTGCTCAGCATAACTGCAAAAAATAAAAGAGAAGATCTGTATGCAGATATTGCATGAATAATTAAGAAACTGTAAAGAATATAATTTGTTTAAGAAGATAGCTTTACATAGTTTAAAGTCTCAAAGACAATGTAAAGACAGAGTGTGCCAAAACGTACTCTTTGAATGATAAAAAGCAACAACTTGGAATGAGTCACTTTTCTGTTTACAATTTGCTTTTTTGAATACAATGGATCATTTTCATCAGGTTAAACAGCACTGGGGAAAACAAGTTTGGAAGCATAGTAATATTAATAAACTAAGAAATTAATAAAAAGGACAAAAATAATTTTTGAAAGATAAAATGCAGCAGCAGTGCATACTGCACCTAAAGACGACAACTGTCGCTTCCCTTACAAGGAGAAAGGAATGCCCACACAGTTAGCCTGCAATCATGGGACAATTACATGTCCCCACCAGATGAAGCATATGCAGATTGCCTCCCTCAGGATCCATGAAATGGACTAAACAGATTAAACTGGTATAACAGATCTCTTCAGCTTCTGAAACTGAAGGAGCAAAAAAACTACAAAGCCACGGATATCCAGGAAACAGTTAACTGGGAAGGATTAGTTGCTGTTTCTCCCAGTATAAACGTTAGTGGGAGGTCATACGAAAGTATCAAATAGCAAATTTTAAAGTTCCCTTCTTACAGAAAATAAGTGGCTCACAGAACTCATGACCTCAGGATGCTATGAAGGACAATGGTGGAAATGGGTTCCTAAAAACAAGCGTGCAACTATACAGAAGTAGGTCTAAAGTGACCAACAAACCAAGAAGCACTCTGTGATCCAGGAAGCCCCATAGCACTTATTTGGCAGACCCCGTGAAAGCATCTTAGGTACCTTTTCTCCTTCTCCAAGCTCCTGTTACTGACCACCACTACAGAGAAGATACAGGGGTAAACTGCTCTTTGGTCTGACCCCATCTTGCCATCTGGATTTGCAGAGCTACCGGATATCAGCATTTGGCCCATTTGGCAGCTTTTACCTCTTACAAAGAGTTACAACAATGTGTTTTGAGGCAGAAATGAAGTTGGAATTATGGAAATACATTCTCATGTTACTGTGCTGCTCCACAGGTAGAAATTCTAGTGTCACAAAAGGAAACAAAGAAGTATGGTGGCCTTCTTGAAGGGGTCATGACCTTGGTGGAT